ATTATTTAGAAGACTTAGGAGTTGTTTTAGTATTTTTTTAGAACTTATATCTGTGCGATTTTCAAAGTTTTGTTGTCTTTGGCCAACGCGACTGGATCGTGTACGTATTTCAAGACGAGCTGATCGCCTGATACTGGGGTTTTTGTGGCAAATCAGTCGAGCTGCGGAATCCTCAGCATGGACAAATCAGTGTCATAACAGCCCATTTCAAGCCAGCAGAGAGCTTCACTTGTTTTAAAGCAATAAAATAAGTTTTTATGTATCATATAACACAGTTAAGTGACATGTTATTGTGGGATCTTTCCCTGTTGGCAGTGGTTTCTGAGCTGATCTCTGATCAATTTAATAAATATTATATAAATAGACATCTTCTTGTTTTATTGTTGCATTAATTTTAATCTGAAAAAATACTCACAAAGTAGGTCAAGTGTATGAATAAATATTCATTTAGTACATTTTTTACAGTTATTTATGTACTTAGTCTTATTTGCATGAGTGTACATGACAGATTGGTTTAATAATTAGATATACCCAGTTATCATTCATAACCTATGGTTTGTTTAATAAATGCTGGAAAAAAACTAAAAAAGTTAGCCAATTGAAATAAATGCACTAATAACTTGGTAAACATAGCTTGGTAGTTGCTATTTATTATATAAAAAACATCTGTCAACATACACTCATGCTTTTTCCTACCACTCGAGTCTTCACTCACCAGGGGCCGGTTGTTCAAAGTTGTGGTAGTTTAACCCACCTAGGGTGCGTTCCTTTAGTGCAATCCGGATTTGGATTTTCAAATCCGATTATCGATTGTCAGTTTCATTTAACAAAATCTTAAAATAGATTCGAATCTGATGAATCCACCTCAACATATGGATTTTTCGGATTCAATCTGAATCTTGATTAGGATTCAACGTTTCTTTTGAGCTTCTGGCCTTCTAGAAAGAGAAAACTAATTGTAAAAATGGCGGGAAAACGGCAGGCGAATTCCGATTCTCACAATTCGTTCCATTTAATTAACGAATCCAAAAAATCCGAATCCTAAAAATCCAAATCTAGATTTACAAAAGAAAAGCTCCTCTAAAATTCGAAGCAAACTTCCTGACAGCTTTTTTATAAATTTGGAAATATTTCTTCAGATATCTTGTCTGGATCGATAGTTTACTTCTCTGAAGTTTTGAAATACACAGATGACAGATCTATGTGTAGAAGTACACAAACTAAAACAGCAGGTTAAATTTTAACCCAAGGTTAGCGCTAACCCACCTTTGAACAACCGACCCCTGGTGTCTTTATATGAACATTTTTGGATAAAATTAAAAAGTCAACCCTATACTTGATACACTGAACATAGACATCCACGACATCTCCTGCAGCAATTAGTGGGTGCAAATACTTGCATAGTTCTGAAGCAATATAACCAACATGTGTCCATACAGTTCCATAGTCTAGATCAATAGGCAATTCCAGCTTTTAATTTATGCATGCAGGGGGTGACAGGAAGTAAGGTATCATATTACTGATTATGCTGAAACATTTTAATAAACTGCCTAAACAACCAAAATATTTCAATATTTACAATAGCTATCTCTCCATGTTTACATGGCCACCACTTCTATTTTTTCAGCATTATCAGCAATATGATACCTTACTTCCCATCACCCCCTGCATGCACAACCTAAAAGCTGGAATTGACCATTGCACTTGGGTCCCTTGGATTCAATGGTGCTGGCCGTATTCTTACATTGAATTCACTGTTTTATCTTATTCATGAAAGCGAGGTATTATGCCTTAATTTTCCAAATGATGTCAGTAGTTTTTCTTATGAGCAGCACCGATGCACTTGAATGGTACAGAGTGGGCGATTTCTTCCTCCTCATCACTTTCGTCTTCATCACTTAACTTGTCATCTCTTTCTGCCCTATCACCTTGATCACCTCTTTCATTATCATATACATCTTGAACAGGTTCAAGACCATAATCATAACAATACTTCAATCTTCATTCGTGAATTTTGAGAATGCACGGCTTAAAATTTGAATTTGGCTCGACAATATTTAAAACGATGATATAAAACAATAGCTTAATTCAAAGCTTACATTTGACTCAGTCTTTATATTAAATTATGTTTATTGTAACTAATGCCAAATAGTTAATAGTTGTGTATATGACAGATTGCCAGATTCCAGTGGCAGTGTTTCTTGTATCAAAATTATATAATATATTATAGCTTGGCATCTGCTCAAGTTTCAATCCTCAATTCTTTATAGGCTTATAAATACCTAGGCATATCCCAGCTAAATGTGCATGTCTCAGTTACAATAGTCATAGAATAAAAGTTATTCTGAATAAGGAGTGCATTATATAATAATACAGTATTAACACACAATTTATAAAAACTGTATGTTCTGAATCAAATATGATTCACCTTCACCAGTATTTCACAAGATATGTCGTTATATTTGCAAGACATGTCGTTATATTATATTCTTCTTATATGTATCTAGTATATTTGCTGAAATTATCAGCCAGAAAAGGATGTCTCATGCACTTTACCATTATAGCACTTATATATACCCTACTTTAATTTTTTTTCCCTCAGTCTAACACCAGGTGTTGGTTGCATCAAAGCTGGATTCTTTCAGTGCTGTTTGATTTTACCATGTCTAACATCAGAGGGTAATAATACAATGCACTAGGATATCAATGGAATGGGGTATAGAGGGTTAATTTCAATTTCCTTTGTATGCCATGCTTGAAGTTTTTAATGCCGGGTGGGTCAGTTAATAGGTAAAAATGTCAATTTGATCAATTTGTTGTGTGGAAACTTGATTATGGAAGTGCCCTAACTGGAAACAGTCAAAGTCCTTTGTTTGCTTGTTCAAAGTTTATAATATATGAATACATTTATGTATACCACCTGCATGATCTGCTTAATAATATATGTAACAACCTTTGGGCTACATTTTATATATCTTTAGAGACACCCTGGCAAGTCATGACAAGGGTGAACTTATTTTTTTTTTAATAAAATTACCTATTTCACTCCGAAGCGCCCAGTTTCCAGCAGTTTGTTAATATTTAAATGTTTCTGTATCTTGCCTAATGTTGGACAATTTTATTTGCCAAGGAAAGTGTCCAGCTAGACTCATGATGTTTCATGCTCATGCTGTTTCATGTTGACATATTTAGATGTAATTTTCCTTAACACTCCCTACTTTAAGTTCTGCACACAATATTTAACTGTGAGGTCTCAAGCTAGACAATTTGGTCTGCTTGCCCATTTTTCACCTTTTAATACTAACAATTAAGCTGGCATGTATTGGCAATAACTGCTTGATCTGCAAGATGCTTGGTGTCATGGGTCTAACTGCTAGTAGACTACTACTACTACTACTAGACTGCTCATCCTGCAATTGATTTGAAACCCAATCGTGTAATAGATTCCTTACAGTTACTCAAACGATTGGTAACTCTGACTGTGGTAAACAATGCCATTGAAACTGCCACAACCTAGCATTGACAGCTAATAAGAATACAAACTATTTTATGTGTATTATTTTATACAATTTTAAACAATAATATACCTGTCAACCATGGTACTGCATTGCTAGTTTTCAGCTAATTTGATATTATTTCATTACTATTTTTAACTGGTTTTAATTATCATACTACAATTTTATTACTTTATAAAGTAACTATGTTGCAGTGCTACTATTTTTATATAGCTATTTTATTGTTATTTTATAACTACTTTATTGCTACATTCTGACTATTTTATTGCTATTTTATGACTATTTTACTATTCTTTTATTGCTATTTTATACCTATTTTATTACTACTTTCTGACTATTTTATTACAATTTTATTACTATTTTTATACTATTTTATAAGAATTTTGAACTATTTTTTTACTATTTTGTTTGCTATTTTATCACTATTTTAAATTCTACTAATTTATTACTATTTTATCAGTATTTTATTCATATTTTTAAACTATTTTATTACTATTTTAATTTGCAGTAATTTTATTACTATTTTTAGTTAATATACTGCAGTTGATCCACTATTTTATATGTATTTTCGACTATTTTTAACCTATTTTATGTATATTTAGAATCTATTTTATTACCAATGTTTCACTTTACTTTATTATTTTATTTCTATTTTGCACTCTATTTGAAATATATTTTATCCTATTTTAAACCTATTTTAAACCTATTTTAATCTGTGCTTCACCGATTCAGAAAAATAAAATCTATTTAAAATAGGCTATTTTTTGTTTCAAAAAAAACCTATTTATAATAGCTATAAAATACAATTAAAACAGAGTTCTAATAGGTTTAATATAGGATTTGTCTATGTGATTGCAATATGATAGATTTAAAAATAAAATAGCTTTTCTATAGGAATAAAATAGAAAGTAAAATAGGGATAAAATAGAGTTAAAATAGTGTTGATTTTCGCAAGGATGGTCTCGAACTGTTCTCCACTTCTGCATTTTCGTTTCCGAATTTTTTTTGAAAACAATGATTTTTTATATAGATTCCCGCCAAATTTTCCGGAAGCGTCGTGAAAAGAATCGACTACGTAAACTAAAATAATTCTGCGCGGCCGTCGCGAAACAAAGAAGTCGCCGTCGCAAAAGATCATGCATCGTAAACTCGCTATTAACATCCATCTTTATAAAATGTCAACTTGGGTTCAATTCTCAAAAACAAACGTGTTCGTTTCTCTTGTACTGCCATACTCGTAAATAGACGTTGCCAAAATCACTATTCAAAATACTTTTATAATACAACGTTTAAAATGGAATGAACTGATACGTCTATATACCTCATATTAAATTTGGAAAAATTTAAAAACTCCAGCGGCCTTGGCGTATAGTCCAAAAGCGTCCACAACTTCAAGTTCTTTTCTATAGAAAGGTGATCTAGACGCCCTGACACTCACATGTACTGATCTTAAAATTTCGAAAGAAATTCTGGTTCTCAACCACGCTATGATAACTGCGTATCGTTCATTATCGTTTTCTGCCAGTTTCTGCCCAGCTTTTTAAGAAACATTTGGCATTCAATCCCCATTCCACCACTAGTCCCGAAAACAAGGGGCGTAAAAGAGCCCATTTCAACATCTAACGCTCTCTGTTGGTATTCCCTCTTCTTTTCGTTCGAATGTTCCTTGAAAATCATCTGAGTTGGGGGGTCCTGGTTACATTTTGAGTTTACGTGCGTCACTCTTACGTCAAAAAATGCCGCAGCTCCACATAACCAAAAACCGTCCGCTTTCATGTCCAATCTCGCCTCAGGACTTATGATGGCCGATCTCAGATTGAATCTTTCGTTGTCTAGGGGTTGGAGATGTGGCTCTATTTCCACGTTCTTACATACTTTACCAAGTTGCGTGGTGAGCAAGTTGCGAACTCCGTCATGCCTTTGAGCCACGAAACCCCCCTTTTTACATGTGAGGGCATGATTGATGTTGAAGCGATCTCCGCACGCACAATGGCTTAGCTTGGTAGATCATTCAGAGATAGATTGTATCTCATTCGCAACGAGTCTTTAAATTCTTGCTTATTAAGGGCTAAACCCTGGTCTTTGAGTGGTATGGCGTTTAGCCAAGAGGTCGCTCCTTTATCTTTTGATTGCATTACCAAAAGTAGTACGTCTGGGGGTAGAGATGCGTCAATGCTATCCATTCTTGACTTAGCAGTCTCCGTTTTGATTGCCTGCTGTATTTTCTTCAGATCATCACTAGACTGCTCACATGGTTCCATACCCGCACTTTGGCATCTGATTGAATTTACGTGTTGTTTGGTGAGTAACTTTGATGATGCGTATTGCTGTGGGGCTTCGACCCTCAATATCGGTACACCCAGACCGCCTTAAGCTGGTGTTAGGGTCACAAGTTCACATAGTTCATCCGCGAGGGGCTCTTCCTGACCAAAGAGTTGCGGAAGGAGCATTTCATTCAAAGCTTCATGTACCGGGTCTACATATTCTTCAATAGCCTCAATTGTTCGCATGAAGTAGGTACAGTAAATTTAGATTTGTACGCTTTCGCGAGGGCAATGTAGGCAGCGCAAGGCATTTTTTAATACCATGGACTGGTGGGGCATTTGCCCCACTGGGCCCCTTCCTCTGCCCCACCAATGAAGAAAACAAATGGCCTATTGCCCCAAATTTAGCCGAAAACTGGCGACGTTGGAAACAAAGATTTGAGTTATTTGTGATCGCGGCAGAAGCGAGCAAGAAATCGTGGGAAATTCAAAGCTCTATGTTATTACATCTTATTGGAGAAGACGCACTGGAAGTGTTCTTCAACACATTTGAGTTTGCATCTGATGAAGACAAAAGAGATACTGTGACCAGAACACCGCATCGCTCCCAAAATTAAGCAAAAGAAACCACGTCATGGCAAAAACAGACCCAAAAGCAAACTGGCAACCTGCGAAAGTTAAAAAAGAGATCGCTCCAAGATCATACCTGATAACAGATAACAACGACAGAGTCTTAAGGCGAAATCGATCACATTTGATGAAAGTTCCAGAACCAAGTTCCACAAACGCGGAGACAAGATCAACTCGTACGTCTGGTGAAACAAGACCAGCCAGCAGTGAACAAGAAGTACAAAGTGAAAGACAAACCACACAAGTTGAGTATAGCAACCTGTCGGAGAAAGCAGGATTAGTGACTTCACGGTATGGTTGAACAATAAAACCAAATCGTAGGTATACATCTGAACAATAAAGAAAACATTGCCATATACACTTATATATTATAATAAATACTACTTAACATTTTAACATTTACTGTCGCAGGAAGAGAAAGGACTTCAAAGGAGAAATGCTAGGGAAGAAATGAACTGGAGACAGATGCGAACAGTATATAAACCTTTAAAAAAACTTAATATTTTGACTTGTTCTAGTTTATGATTACTTATGTTAGGGATTTGTTAACGTTGCTAAAGAAAGGGAGATGTAACATGATACTTAGAGGTCTGGGGCGACTTGTGGTTGTCCAATATGGCTGCCTGAATAAACAACTTATTACAGCTCCTAAGTGGCTTTTTCCTTCTGTTGTAATATTAACTTCTTCTCCAAAGATCTGCTCTGCTTCTTTGGCCAATTCTTGTGACCATTTACTAGATAACCATATCAGTCCTTTCCTTCCCCTTCCAGGTACTTGTACCAATTATGTAAATGTACCAGTCTTCCTCCTACTGCTGCTGAGTCATCGGCCAGCCATACTTGTTTGACTTCTGGTATATTTAATCTCAGACGTGAATCATTACAGCTGTGTCAAGTAACTGAGTACCAGGGCATCGCTAGAGGATCGCCTTGTGTGGTACCTTCCTGCGACAAGATCTCACCTCCCCCACATATGAAGAGCCTGGAGGGACTTCTGCAGGTGTTGATAATGTACATGGACATTTTATTGCAGGTTAACTGAAGAGTGTGCATGGCTACAGCTCTATTCATTTGATTGAAGGAATTGGTCGCGTTAATCAAAAGAATTGAAGCCTTGAAGCTTCGACCATCCATTCTTCATCCAAAGCCTTGAAGCTTCGACCATCCATTCTTTGCGTACTCGCTTCGCTCATCAATGAATAGCCGGAGCCTCACTAGAGCAAAACAGTATTGGCCATACCAAAATTATTATTAGCCAGGACTTCAAACGGATACCTGAAGGGCTGTATTAACCTGCAGTCGTATGACACAAGGACTTTATATATAAGGTGCACGCTCGTAATCCGCCATTTGTGTTTCTCTCAATAAATCTGGGAAGAATCGTAACATGGACGATGTTTGAAACTCCTGGAAGATTTTAAATAATTTATGTCAGTCCTTTGTATTGTATAATAATTCCATCCCTTATTTTGAGTTTATGCAGGTGAGTTTAGTTGAGTTTCAGCTTGAAATGACGCGGAATATTAAAAAGACAGTATTATTGATTATTGCATTTGCATGGACAAGTTTCTATCAACTATTAACAAATGTGTTTCTAGATTCTAGTTCTATACAGCTGCTCCTTTATATACCGGATTACTGGTGTATTTGAAAGTGGCTGCATGTTATTGTTAACTCACTTTGGCTCGACTTCATAATAACACTTACTTCGACCTTGATAATTCTGAATATCGCAAAATAATTCAATAACTGTTTTGCAACCGGACCGGGATAATTCACAATGTTTCCCATATTGGTTGCATTCGAAGATCTGGGAAAAACTACTGTTGTTCCCGGAAGAAAGGTGGCTTTCTCAAATCCGGTTTAATAAGTTCAATAAATTAGCATATTAATTAACCTTATAGTTAAGAGTATACTGTTTTGGAAGGTGACCGCTTACAATTTTACAGTCATTTTAAAATGCGAAAAACGAGTTTGCTACTGTTTCACTATTTTCCGCTCTATATAGTGCAGGAACAGCAGAACGTAATAAAGATTAATTTTAAACTTCCAGTACAGCATTACAATAACTTGGTGAGTATATATATCTTCAGTGAAAACAAATTATGTCTTGAATCAATCATGCCACGTATAGTCAAAATAAAGCTTTCGTTTATATGATTATCAACGATGCACGGTGATCATATTTGTCATTAGCCCACTGCTAGTAAGGGCAATTGTTTTGCCATGTAGCTACAATGTATTGGTTGTTTGTCCTATCCAACCATTATCCGATACTATCCTGATACTTAATTGATTTGTAGATCTCGCGCTACATGCATGCCGATGCATGTCAATAAACGACCGACAATCGTGCATGCATACGTAGCCTATATATATATATATATATATATACATCTTTTGACATGTTTGTGATGTTATTGCGATCTCTGTCTTAAATACCAGATACGTATACGTTCCGCTGGTACGTATACTAAAAATGTGGAAACAATTACATGTATATGTTGTGTGCTTACATATGCTACCAATATAGGCAAGATTGTAGCTAGTTCCCATACAATGATATAGAACGGTGAACAATGACAGTGTATTACTGTCGATATGTAAACATGTTTCACCTAACTTCAATAAGCATGCCTCTCTTACACGCGTAAAAATCATCATGTTGTTGCAAGTTGTCAACAAGTTGCTGCAACTTGGTTCTGAACAGGATGCTGCAATATTGTGCGGCCCACTTGCAGCAATGTTGTCAACAATATTGTTCACGCTTGTTCGAACAATGTTGTTGACGCCTGATGAACGAACAAGGCCTGAACAACGTTGTTGGAACAACTGAGATCAACCTGATATCAATGATGTTTTATATTGTCAACAACTGCGAACAGTCTTGTTTTATCAATACGTAAACAACCTGATATCAATCGGTTTCGACGCTGTTATTCGTGGCCATTTTCCAGGGGGGAAAGAGAAATTTAAAGGCACAGTTCAGCCTTTTGAATGATGGTTTTTAAGGCGCATTACAACCGAATTGAAAAAACTAATTAGGAAAATCAATTAAGCACAATTCAAGATCAGTGATTTCAATGTTTTTAACATTTTTAAACATTTCTAATGTTTTTTAACATTGAGTTCACTGATTTTGAATTATGCTTAATTGATTTTCCTAGTTAGTTTTTTCAATTAAAAGTCTTGTAATGCGCCATAAAAACCATCACCCAGAAGGCTGAACTGTGCCTTTAAATAAGCACACAAACAGACAAACTTCGCTTCTTGATATGAAATTCAGTTTATTTTGAAATAAGAAAATACAGATTAGTGAACAAATACAAACTAAAGAGATAATTACAGTAAAAGTACAAAGGTAAGATAATTATAAACTATTTTATATGCAATTAAGGTTTATAAAATACTAAGTACTATTTATAAATCTAAATACTTATTTGTTTTGTTAAATCTAAATACTTATTTGTTTTGACTTTTGAGTTCATATTAAATACTGGTAAACAATGGCAGTATTTTAGCAAAAGGTAGTGCAACACTGCAACCTCTATAATTATTATTTAGGTATTGTCAGGATGGAATTTGAATCTGTTGGAGCAAGTCTATCACAGAGATTTTATGAACCATGCATGCAATTTGTACATAATCATATATTTGCCCATTATATTTATAAACTGACAGTTAATAATTAATCTTTCACAGACTAATAAAATCATCTGGGGCCGGTAGTTCAAAGGCTTACACGGGCTTCGATCGAACAACCGGGCCCAGATGATTTTATTAGTATGTGAAAGAGTAATGGTATTAACTGTCAGTTTATAAATATAATGGGCAAATTAGAGAGAGTATATAAAATACTAAAGTAGGCTCATTGCCAATTGATGGATTAGGTTAACATAATTAATAAACTATAGATGGTTTTGTTGCATCTCACTCGATGGAAATTTTAATGTTGGGGTTTGTTGATGGATAAATCGAGTACTTAATAATTTGAATTAAAATATGGACCTAACCAGGCCCTTATTGCCTGAATGGCATCTTATTCAAATAATCATTTAACTTGAAATAAAGGGATCTCCCTCAATTGATTTAGCCTGCAGAGGGCCAACCCCATTCCTGGATCACTTTAGTCTTAACCTGAAATTCAGGCCCTACTTTCATTTTTCTGTGTGCATCCTTTTGAAAGTTCAATATTTTTAACCTTACATTAATGATAATGATTATTCAATTAAAGTCAACAATTTCTTTTTCATCCTGAGAACATCCAGTTATTTCAGTCCTCCTGAATTTGTTTGACACTCCTAAGTAGCAGTGATATTTCTGTAGATTTGCCATTATTTTATTCCAGATATGAACTCACAGGCCCTATAAATTAAGATTAAATACATAGTGCCATTAATTTACAAAATGGACCTTTGCAATGTTTATGCATGCACTAGTCAATTGAAACCCCCGACCCCCGGGACAGGGCGGGGAATTAACGGGGGAATGGCCGTGGATTAACACGTTCTTAATGCAGCATTTCCCCCGGGGTACAGGGTAAATAACAAGTCAATTTATTAGCTGGGACAATTCCCAAGTCATGAAAATTTGCAAAGTGCCGGGGCCATAGGGGCGGTAACTTTAACAGTCAACATTCCCCCGGTAGCAGGGAAATTACCAAAATTTAACATTGTAAAAATGTTAATTTCCCCGCCCTATCCAGGGGGTCGGGGTTTCAATTGACTAGTGCATTATGGTGGGATGCAGCCCCAATTGTATGTTTCCCACCATATTTTACATGGCTCATGCCATATATAACTTCAGTACATGGTCATGTTTGGATCCATGCCTGGGACATATCATAATCTTGAATCTAATTTGGGTATTCAATCATGTTTAATCATGAGATATCTATGTGTTTAATAGACATACTAGGCAGTCCAGTGGACTGGTCATGCTTTGTCTAAGTGCATGACTATTGCCAAAATAGCCTCAATCTACACAGACCACAACAAAGGTATAAAAATTACTTACCAAGTAATCACCCATTGTAAATAATTTGTCTGACATGTTCATATATCTTTATTTTTATACTTAAGTTTACACTACAAAAAGGATAAAAATGAGACAATAATTACATTTGAGCATAATAATGGTCATAATTATCCCCCATAGCCATGTGAGAAATCATAGCTACCTCCTTATGAGAAATGGCTAATTATTTAACTGTATGCACTCTTACCTACCTACAATCTATCCATCACATATTATATGCAGTAAATACACCATTCTTGGTCTGTAAACTGATCAAGTATTTGGTTGACCTTGTTAAAACACAATAGGAATTGTTTATATATAGCAGTGATCAAACTTAAATTAATTTTACAAACAGGAATAGGGAGGGAAGGAGCGGAGGACATATGATATGATATTAATATTAAGTGTTTTGTTTATATTACGGCTTTTATTACTGTATGACCGTGGTTTCGATATATGAAAATATAGAGAAAAATATCAAAATGCAATGCCTATATAAAAGTACTATAAAGTTTAAATGTGCGTGTGCATTTCTTCGTCGTGCACTATGAAAATGACTAAAATCAAAAGGTCGGGTTGTTTTAAGCTTTTACAACTAACCTTACCTCAAAACAAGACACTTACCAAGTTATTTTTTTCAGTATTTTCCTCTCAATCTTCAGAAAAAACCACAAAGTTTAAATGACATTTATTTTGCTGTAAAAGCCCGTTTGATTTCTTGCTCTCGTGATATTCGTCGCATTCGTCCGTTTTGCATCCCAGCGATTTCGAAACAACCAATAAAAACAAGTTTTCGTGTTGTTCAAATCATTATTTTACCGTCTATTTATAACAATGCTGTTCACGGTTGTTCGAACAACTAAAAACAACTTGTTCTTTCATCAATGTTGTTCACGCCTGTTCGAACAATATTGTTGACGCCTGATGAATGAACAACGCTGAACAACATTGTTCTGACAACATTTATCAAGCATGTTTCATCAACCTTGTTGACGCTTGTTCCATCATGTTGCAACAACCATT